GATAATACTGGATATTTGTTCTCGACAGAGTTTCACTGGAAACAAGGCCTTAATTGGATGTTGCTCCGGGAAAATTACGAGGTTTTGCTTGCACTAGATTTTGATCGCTCTCGTGGGAGATGAATAATTATTTCTGCCTGAGTATCAGGCTCGGGACAGCCTTTCCAACATCCCCTGCCTTTCATTGCGATGAGCTATTGGACTAATCTCTCAACCTGTTATCTTAGTGAGATCTAAAAATAACCATTTTCATGGTTAAGGAGGAAAACACATGTTTAGGATGTGTTGTTTCTCTCGTTACACTGCCAATGCGTGCAAATCAGCTTGGGAACTTTCTCGATTGTCTTTTTTTCTGGGCGCTGTCCCCACTCGCTCCGGGTGTTTCCTTGTATACTATGTCTTTCTAGACTTTATGTTCAGAACCTGAACTTGTATTTTTGCATTGCTGGTGCTTTGTCCTCAATAGAACGCTCCAAAATCTCCGAATTTATTGCTCATACCCACAAACTGCTCTTCTTTTGAAGCCTGAAAATGCTCTTTTGATAGTCTCACAAGGTTGGCGGTCTGTGGACAAAACTTCAGTCTCGGACGGGACTCGACCCCGTACTTTTGCTTTTCGGGCTCCTTTGATATTTGATGATAGTGGCATCTAAAAGTAAACTTATGCGGTAGAAGTAAAGTGGTCCCGAAGCTAAGTTCGTTGTCGATACTAGTCATAATCACCTCGTCATCACCTCACCTTAGTACGTCAAAGGCCATACAAATGTCAGCTCTTTTGAAAAATCATATTGCTCAATAATAACGAGCTTTCATATTTTATCAACACAATATCTAGCGGATGAGGTTCTGAAGAATGGCTGCAAGCAATCATCTCTTCTCCAGGAATCGCCCCATTCATGATTGTCCAAGACCTTTTCTTCTTCAGATTCCTTCAAAATTTCACTCATTTACTCACTAGCTGTTCTGCTAACTGCTGTTATTTCGTAGCAGTCCACGATCCGATCCACAAGGTTCCTCTCACATTAAACCCCGTCCGAGGTCGAAACTTTGCTCATATTTCACCAATCGTGGGAGACGAGCTCTCTTTGTTCAAAAAATCGATCTTGAACGTCATCTTCAAAGCACAGTTCACGATAAAAATGATTTCTGAGATATCCCTATAGAATGAATTTGTAGGACCCCCGCATGCCATATGTGGCACTGCCACAGCTGAAAACGGTCTAGATGAGGCGTTATAAAGGCTCAAAGATTGTACCGTGTGCATCCTCGGACGACTTTCATTTGCATTACTGAGGCTGGACCATGCAGAAGGGAACCCATGTAGGAGGCTCAAGCAACTTGTCATGAATTATAGTGACAGTGGAAGGTAGTTCTGTACAGTTCTGGCTTGATGTGGTCAGTTCTCAGTGCACTTCCAGCAACTGAAATCTCGTCCGAATGCCCCTTCGATGTCATTTACGTCATGGTAATCTCGTCAAACCTCTATCATTCCAACCTTTGAGAAGCCTTATTTTTCTCGAAATTGGCCTAAGCTACTCCCACTCACTATTCGTGTCCTACACTTCCGTTTTTTTTTTTTGACTGAAAAGCGGTACTGCAAAATTTTTGTGGACTGTGCCTTTAGACATTAATTTATAAAATTATTCGTTGCCAGAATTCACGATCAAGGAGGTTCAATTTGCTGTCGATTTCAATTTTTCAGAGCATGAATGATTCTATGACCACAGCTACTTTCAATGAAACTCAAGGCCCGTGTGATGTCGATACACATCCGTATCTTCGACTTGCCTTCGTCAGGTATGCAAATTGCACATGACTGCATTTTCCAGCGTTCTTTGTACCAATCTCTTCATAGTGCCAATATATCTTGAACAAATTATTTAAATAAGGATTGTAACCCTGAATAAAGAGAGCATCAGATTTTTCTTTTTTTTATCTTCTATACTTTTTATGTTAGATTAGTTGGTTGCCCTTAATTTGATAGTGTTACTTCTTTTACCCCTTTAATCAGCTGATTGGCGATCCTTCTATGCTTCTCATTTTTATTTGTCATCAAAATCCTGTTCACGCAGTGTAGCACAAAGCAGATTCTGCGGTACACGGATCTCGTGATACAGTAACCAGCCATGGTGGTTACGGTATTGCATAGGAGAGGCAAGGGACACTGAGCAATATCCCGCCACGTAAGCTGTTACTTGTATAAAGGCAGTGTGGTGCTCAATGGGGACTGCTCGGGGGGCTTGGACATTCTAATGAGGACCGAAAGTGACCAAAAGCATGAATCACTGGATCCTGGGAGATTCGAGCTCAGGAATCCGATTGGGTGTGTTCGTATTTAAAGAAGTAAATGGAGGTAATTATCACGAGATTCGTTATTCTCTCGGGCCGATCCTTGATCCTTAATTGGTCGTTGAAGAGCGTGCCACCGTCATTTGTCGGAAAAACGCGTCCGCACTGCGATAGAAACGCAGTTTGTGGATCTGCGGGTGTGACATTAGGTCACAAGAACTCTAGCTAATTCGACGAACCTTGTAGGGACATCGCGTTCACTTAATTGACAGTGTATCGTTGGTGGTTCGTCCAAGGGATAGAAGGTTATCTACGCTTTACCCGCTGACTGAGATTTCTTCCCAATATTGCTGTCCCAGCATAGCGTTTGAAAGATTGCAAGGTAAAGCTGAGGTCTTTCCTTCCACATGAATGCTTGATCGGATTCCGGGCGTCTCCCGGAACGTTTTCTGAGCTCGTCGAAGCTGAGGCCGACCTCATGTTCATTGTTTCCATTAGCGCACATTGGATCGCTTGGTCCGAATGCGCGTGCTTGGCCATTCAACGTTCTTTTTCAATACGCAAAGGGGTACTTCAACCTTTCTTATCATGGGGCAAGCACCCGAATATGTCGACCATTCCAGCCACGGTTCTGAGGGTTCCTGAATTGAGTGTGTTCTTTTACCTTCATTTCGTAGATGACGCCAGACATGAACATTTCTGGCGGGACCGCACTCATACTTCAGTATAAATCATAACTCGGCCGGCTCTTAGATGTGATTGGAAATTCCGAGATACTTGAAGGTCGTTGTGCTTGTAATCCTCGTGCACTTGATCTTAATAGAGCCTTGCCCATTCGGCTCAATAGTCAATTGCATAGTACTTATGACGCTCAACCTATGTCGGACATCGCCAGGCAATCAAACCAATCTTGCCCTTTTTGCTTGGGGACATTCCAATTTTCACATGTGAGCATCACCGTAATGAAATAACTACGGGGACGGAAACGAAAACCCTCCACGACATCTGGTACTTACAGTATTCTGGCTGTGGGCCGTGACTGGAAAGTCTCGTCGTGATGCAGCATAACCTGAGCGAACTCATCCACCTACTTCCCAAAGTCCTCTTTCGAAGTATAGTGTGCGTGACAGGAACAGAATATGGGGATTCAATCAAACATAAGGTCGCTGTAAGAATGAGCCTCCCGTAATGTACTCGCGCTCCTGTTCCAGGTACCTGCTGATGATGAACTCAGCGTCAGCGTACCCCTTCGATAAGAGCTCGGGAGACCCCGTGCCATAGCGAGACAATTTTTTGATGTCGTCGATGTACGATGGTGGACTTTGGCGAAAGTGAACTCATCTTGTTCCCGCAATTTAAGTTTCGCTGACATCAACAAAATGAGAAGCTTAGCTGTATGAGATGTCGATTTCAATTGAAAATGAAGGATGAAGTTCTAGACGTTAGACATTTGCGATTTGCAGAATGCGCATTCAACTTTTATTGAGAATCGTAATGGCATTTCGATAGCGTATGTAGCCTATACAATGATTCGCGTTTGCTAGCCGATTTATAAGTCAGCGATTTCATCCTCTCAGACAAATCTAGTACCAATTCACCGACTCCAAAGGGATGGAAAGCCTGATTGGCTTGGGCAGGTATCAAACCAGGGTTGTTACACTGACCATGCTGTATGATACTGCGCCACTTTTCACTAGACTACCTCTGCCCTTTCTGTCCAGAGTTTTTGGATCAAATCAAGTCGACGATTGCTAAAGCTGATCCTGACGTGGAAAGGCAGATCCAGGTATGACCGAATCATAAGCTATACAGCTTCTTCAAAGGTTTTTTTGGGTGTGGGTAATGGCAACCTTCACATATGGTACCAGTTCACTGACCCCGAAGAGATGGAAGGCTTGTTTCTCTTCGTAGTACTTTCTTCTGCTTCTCTTCGTATTGAATTTTTGCTTCCATTGTTTCCTTTTTGATTTCAATTTTGTAATTTTTTAAAAATTGAAAACAACTTAAAAAAGACTTTGTGAACTGTCTGAAGCCATTTATACTTTTGACGGAGGAGATTAGCCGACAAAGTTCCTTTTTCAGTTTCGGAAGCGTGATATCAATTGTGGGATGTGCATGCAATCTGCTATTGCTCCTATTGTTTCTGTCAAAGCATTCCAGCAATTCCTTTCAGACATTCCTTGCATTTCTCGATTTTATGCTTTGTTTTTTATTTATTGCTTGTTTTGGAGCACTTTCGTTCGCCGTCACTTTCAGAATAGGTACGGAACACAACTTTGTTTACTCAGGTCGTGATGCTTCCTTATTTGATCATTTAAGAATGGTTGTATACGGTGGTGAAAGACAACAACGTGGTCATGCTCATTGCAAGTCGTATCGTTCAACTATGCATTCCATACACATTGATCGCCAATACAGCTTTTCGATTGGCATCGATTACTCAACGATCGCAACGATTCACTCGGTAAGTGATTTGAGGTATAGTAACAGTACTATGCTTTTTTCAAACATCGAACACTTTGTTCAACGAGGAGGAAACGGTACGAAGTAGTGGGTTACTTCACGAAGTTTATTTATTTGTTTATTTAATAAACATACGGGTGGACTGCACTGCCCTTTCAGTTGTGTCCACCCCTATGTTGTCCATCAAGAAACTCTATAGAAAAGGTGAAGAAACTATTTTTCAGTTAGAAAGTTTTGTTTATTTTATTACAATAGGTTAGCCTAATCTAGATGAACCACCACCTTTACCTGCGGGCTTATATGATGGATGATGAACTCCTTATTGTTAATACTTATTTCTCACTACAATTTTGATTATCAATTGCTTAAAGGCACAGTTCACAATAAATGGTTCCTGAGATCTCTTCATAGCCATATTTGGCGCTATTAGGTGGGAAAACGGCCTCGTTAGGGCGCTTTTAAAGGCACAAAATCGCCTCGTGTGTATGCGTGGACGAGATTCAACGGCACTGTAGGGGCTGCACCATTCACAAGGAAACCCATGTCGAAAGTTCAAACAATTTGTCATGACCTATAGCGACGCTGAAAGGCAATTCTGGACAGTTTTGGCTCGATGTAGTCAGCTTTTTGCACGACAGCAACAACTGAAATCTCGTCCAGATACTCCTTTCATGTCATTTCCAACATTGTAATCTCGTATAACCTCTGTTTTCACTGCTTTTGAGGAGCATTTTTTGAAGCAAAATCGTTGAATCTTCTTGCTTCTCCACCATCGATGCACTATTTTCAACCAATACTTCCGCTTTTCTACTTGGACAGGACACCTCAAAATTATCGTTGACTGTGACTTTTAGTCGAGTTTACCTCCTTTAACTGTGAACTATACAAACTCAATACAACTGCCTACAATACCCCAGTTTTTTTCCAAAAATATTAAACGATATTCAGGAGCCGGAATTTGCAAATAGTTGTGCTGACTATTGCTATCATAGCCGTAGTTTTGCGAGTTCCTGGTTATTTCTTCATGGAAGTGGTGGAACTACCTGAGTGCGATTTTTTTGAAAGTCGAGTTTTATCGGGGAAAATGATGGATCCAGTGGTGACGAACATGTACAGAATAAGCGATGTTTTCATACAAGTGAGTTTGTTCAACTCATTCTTTCCTATTGATAAAGGATTTTTCTGAAAAGAATATTTTAGTTCCTTCATCTCTTCGTCTCTTTCATTATACTTTGCGTACTCAACTGCGTTGTGATACAAAAACTGAGAACTTCCCATGATCGGGCAAAAAGACGTGCATCCTGCCAGTCGCTTTCTCTTTCGGTGAGTTTGTTTTTCTTATGGTTTTCTGCGGGACCTTCACGAGGAATGCCGCTTAAAGAATAAATGAGCTGCAGGATATGTCACGCTTGGACGTCTTTTTGAGATTCATTATGTAGAAAGGGTGAGGGATGGTACTGTGCCAAGTAACGCTTTATTATGCATGTCTATAGATGGATTCCTGGACCCGTACCCGCCTATGCTAATCAAGCCTTCTATCCTTCTGGGATCACGCGGTAACAGACTGCTCTAATAAGGGGCCTGCTACCACGGTATCGACCCCAGAGAGTAAAATGCTTTGTGATTTCGAATGAGAGCGTTCTACCTCGATTATTTCAACTTTCTGGTTAGGGCCGAGAATACTCACCTGTAGGCTAGGCGAGGATTCTCTTCATGTTGTACAGCATATGCGAAATCAATGTTTCCAATTTTTTTTCCAATTCACGAATACTACATACTTTCTTGATTTCTGAGGTTCCTTTACAGGATGAATTTGAGGCCCCTGCGTATACCATATATGGCACTATTAAGCCTTAGTTAGGGAGTTATAAGAGCGCAAAGATTGACCCTTGGCCGGTGTGTATCCTCGGACGAGTTTCACCGGCACTGTAGAGGCTGCACCGATTACAATGGAACCCATATAGAAAGTTCAAACAACTTGTCATGACCCATAGCGACAGTGAAAGACAATTCCGTACAGTTCCGGCTCGATGTAGTCAGCTATTTGCGCAACTGCAGTAACTGAAATCTAGTCCAAATACCACTTCCATGTTATTTCCGTGATGGCAATCTCGTCCAC